TCCCCATCCCCATCCCTGTCCCCATCCCTGTCCCCATCCCCATCCCTGTCCCCATCCCTGTCCCCATCCCCATCCCTGTCCCCATCCCTGTCCCCATCCCCATCCCTGTCCCCATCCCTGTCCCCATCCCCATCCCTGTCCCCATCCCTGTCCCCATCCCCATCCCTGTCCCCTGTCCCTGTCCTGTCCCCGCAGGATGTCCTGGGCTGTGTCTGCATCAACCCCGGCCGTCTGACCAAGGGCCAGGCCGGGGGCACCTACGGGCGGCTGCTGCTGCGCAGGGAGCGGCGCGGGGACGGAACCGGGGACAGAACCGGGGACAAAACTGGGGACAGAGCCGGGGACAGAGCCGGGGACGGAGCCGGGGACAGAACCGGGGACAGAACTGGGGACAGAGCCGGGGACAGAACTGGGGACAAAACTGGGGACAGAGCCAGGGACAGAACCAGGGACGGAGCCGGGGACGGAGCCGGGGACAGAACCGGGGACAAAACTGGGGACAGAGCCGGGGACGGAGCCGGGGACGGAGCCGGGGACAGAACCGGGGACAAAACTGGGGACAGAGCCGGGGACGGAGCCGGGGACGGAGCCGGGGACAGAACCGGGGACAAAACTGGGGACAGAGCCGGGGACGGAGCCGGGGACGGAGCCGGGGACAGAACCGGGGACGGAACCGGGGACAGTCCTGCAGAGAAGCCCGGGGACAGCCCCGGGGACGCCCCCCGGAGCAGCCCCTGCGTGGCCGCCCAGGTCGTGAGGATCTGAGCTCCCAGCTCCGCCCGCTGCACCCACGGCCGCGGGAACTGGGCTGAAACTCCTGGAATTGGGGTGAAACGCCTGGAATTGGGGCAAAAACTCCTGGAACTGGGGCTGGAACTCCTGGAATTGGGGTGAAACGCCTGGAATTGGGGCTGAAACTCCTGGAACTGGGGTGAAACTCCTGGAATTGGGGCTGAAACTCCTGGAGTTGGGGTGAAACTCCTGGAATTGGGGCTGAAACTCTTGGAATTGGGGCTGAAACTCCTGGAATTGGGCTGAAACTCCTGGAATTGGGGTGAAACTCCTGGAATTGGGGCTGAAACTCCTGGAATTGGGGTGAAACTCCTGGAATTGGAGTTAAAACCTGGAATTCCAGTTAAAACTCCTGGAATTCTGGTTAAAGCTCCTGGGATTCCGGTTAAAACTCCTGGAATTCCAGTTAAAACTCCTGGAATTCTGGTTAAAACCCCCCAAAATCATTCTGCCCGTGGAGGATTTCCCCACGAGAGTTCAGGATTCGCCTCCAGTAAAATGGAATTTGGGAAGGGGGATCCTCCCTGTCCCGGCACCACCCCTCGCCTTCGGTGGCCTCATTAGGGGAGTTTAATTAGTCCAAAACCAATTAATTACAGATTCCTGGTGCTGCTGCTTCCCAGGAAAAAGCAGCTGCGGGTCTGGCTTTGACCCTTTTCCCAAACTTTTTGCCCCAAATTGATGATGATGAAGGTGAAAATGAATTAAAGTTTGCCCGTCCCGGTGTCATTTCCTAAGGGAAAAAGCAAATCCAAGGGGTGGATTTTGGGGTAAAACCAGGCAAAATTGGGGCTGGGCAGGGAGATTCCCCTCACAGCTCTGGTGTGTGGCTGGGATTTTCCCAAATATCTCCTTTTTCTCCCCAAATATCCACAGGAAGTGCTGAGGTGACCTCCTAGTTCCTCCTCTGCTCTTTGCCCAATTCCAGCACTTCTCATCCCAAAACAAATACAGTTTTTCCAACATCCATAAAATCTTGTTTTCCTCTCATTTCCAGCTTTATTTTCATTTTGGTTTTTTGTGCCTGCAGGGGAGGGGAGCAGAACCCCATTTCCTCCCAGTTTTCCCCTTGGGTTCTCCTCCCCAGCCTCAGTTTCCCTTGGAAAAACTCCAATTTTGGTTAAAACAGCAGCGGGAGGAGCCAGAGCCGGGTCCTGGGGGGAGGATTTGGGGAATTTTGACTTTTCCCCCTACAGAGCCTCCAGCGTTCAACCCCATCCCTAATTCGGGATTTAATTCGGGAATTCCCGAGGGTTTTGGGGCCGGGATTTCCAGGTTTAATTTTCGGGGCTCTTTGGAGGCCGGGGGAGCTCCGGGAATTCCCGGGAAGGGAAGCGAGGCTGGGGTGGGGCCTGGAATCCGCTGGGGAGCGGCCCCGATCCCGAATCCCGGCCCCGATCCTAAATCCCGGCCCCGATCCCAAATCCCGACCCCGATCCTAAATCCCGGCCCCGATCCCGAATCCCGGCCCCGATCCCAAATCCCGACCCCGATCCCAATTCCCGGCCCCGATCCCAATTCCCGGCCCCGATCCTAAATCCCGGCCCCGATCCCAAATCCCGACCCCGATCCCAAATCCCGGCCCCGATCCCAAATCCCGGCCCCGATCCCGATCCCGGGCTCCGCAGGTGACACCGCTGGGAATTCGGGAGAGGGAAGGGAAGGGAAGGGAAGGGAAGGGAAGGGAAGGGAAGGGAAGGGAA